TCCAGCATCCCCTTAATCGGCCTCCTGTTTGGACAGTTTTCGCTTGGAAATATTATCGTTACGTCCCTTTGCACGGATAAAAGGCGCGATCGTAATTGGGGAACAAACGAATTTCTTTATCGACAATTTGCTGTCGCAAGGTGCAGGCATAAATTTATTATTTTGGGCGACGATCGCGTGCCAGATTGTGTAGGCAACGTTATAATTAGCGGGGACACCGTGTGCCGCTGTTATCAGACAGTGTGTGCCGCGGACGTTTCAAAAACAAAGACAACACAGACCTGCGGTACAACGCATGAATATCAATGTAGTTAGGTTGGTGGAAATGCGGCTACGGTTTCTGCGGTGTTACGAGATTGGAAGGGGCCGGGGGAGGGGGGGCACACACGTACACGCGGGTGATTTTAATCCTCTCAACCGACTGAAAACAGTTTTTTCGCGAGTTACGCTTTCGCGGTACGGCCGGGCAACAAGGTCTTACAGAGCGCATATAAATTCCCGAGGATCTTTACCGTTTTAACATTTCACGTCCGTTTTTTTTTTTTTGGATGGGACCTCGCGGTTTGGAAACCTGGAAGTTCATTAATTCGAATTTATAATTACGACCGTATTTCTCATTGTCGACCTGGCCGGGCTCCCGCGAGGCGTCGGTGACTTTGAACGTGACGTTGAATCCGAGCCGGCGTTTAATTTTCGCGAATCGGCAAAGGATTTTTTTTCCGGGGGCGCAAGATTTCATTGCTCGCTCGAGCTCGCGAGACGGTTCGAAATGAATTGAATTTCGACCGACGAAATGGAATGTGTTTTTGGCGTGTATGCCAATAACTCGAAGCAAAATAACTTGCGCCTGCACGTCCGATATGCATCCAATAACAATTTTATCCTCATCGACTCTTCCCTCGTACGAGTACATGCATAAAACATTCGCGCTATAAATCCTCGTGTACAAATCGAACAAATCCTACCCGCGATGCGTATACTCGATATTTAATGCTTTACCTGCAGCATCAGCGGCCGGCTGTTTTTTTTTACTCTTGAAAGGCACAATAACGCAATCATTAAATTTATAATGACAGTTTTATGATCCCCATTAGCTCTATATAATACAAAAATTATTGCAGCGCGTCTGAATGGCTGCATTGAAATGCATATTTCACAATTCCACTCGGCGAACGGTTATATAATTAATTAACCGAACGTAAAGTTAATTAAGGATTTTCAGCGCGACGCGGCTAAAGCGACACGGGGATACATTTGCGTGTTGCGCGGGCGCGAGTCAAGCGGCGAAATTTTTATTCATTAAGACGCACGAAGATTGTTGTTGCGCGCCGTATCGACGCGCCCTTGTACGTCCGATACGCCGTTGAAATGATAAATTATATTTAGCACGCTGCAAATGACGCGCAGCCGATTAGAATGGGAGATAAATTCGAACAATCTATGGGCACGTATGCGTCGCGTGTAATGTAATTATCGATAACTAGGCTAGCGAATCAGAGCACGTTCCGTGTTGCTTGCAGGCAACCGAAATGGAAAATACCCCCCGCGCATCGCCGTGGAACGCATCGTCGAGCAACCGTAGCCGTGCCTCGCCCACGTGTTCAGCGGGTCCCGTCTAACGTCGTCCAGCCACCCCCCGGGAAGTCCAGCGCCCCAGGGAATTCGACAGCGAGCAAGAAAGATGTAATTTAGTTTTTTCGCCGTATTACGACGGGGGATAACGTGACACGAGTACGGGACACCGAGCGTCGAAATTGACGTGGCCGTTGACATGCCGGCGATGTCGGGGGCGTAAAACGCGGCGTGTCCGCCCGCTTTGAAGATGCTGGTGGACGACTACGGGAGCGGGATGGGGTGGACTACGGCTGGCGTGCGCGGCGGTTGGTCCACCCCGGGAGGATGCAGAAATTCAGCCATGAGCTTCGGCGGCAGCGTGCCGTCCTTGCACCCGACCGGCTCGATAAGATCGTTGCGCTCGCAACACTCCATGCAGGTGAGCGAATGAAGCCGTCCGTTGTGTTGCACGCGATTGCACCGCGATCGATTTGCCTCGTGCAAAATTCTACCGGCGAGTATCTTGGCGCTCGCTCGTCAATTTGCGCGGGTGAACGTTAACCGCGACCGCGTTGGAACGATTCTTTTTAGGTCCAGTTCGACAGTGGCTTAATTACAACTGGCTAGCTTAATTGCACCCTCAGAAAGAATTTCTCTTACCGAGACAAAAGACACTCTTGACGCATTTATATTTCTCACAACCTTATTTAGTAGAACAATAAGACGATATCGAAATAAAATCAATAATTCTTATTGTCCTCTATCGAATTAAAACAGATTGACTTACTATGTTGAGACACGAGTAACTAATATAAATGTGCGTTTCAAATAAATTCTCCCTCAATCTTACAACGCACGAAGTTTGTATTTGACAAAAGACTATCGTTTTATTCTAGATTTTAGAATTTTTCATTTAAGATAAAAATATTCCTTTTTTTAGAATAAATATGATTGGCGCTAGATCGATCCTATTTTATGATACATTCAAGTGTAATAGCGTAATAGTATTGGATCCAGAATTTTTTTCTGTGGGTGTAGTTGTTAAGTAGTGATGCCGACCACTGAAATTTTGTTTCAAAGAATAATAAAAAGAATACAAGCGCAAAAATTATATTTGACTGTGTCGGCAAAAAGGATGGCCGAAGGATCCTCTTAATCGTCTTCGTTGCAACTCATATTTACGATATTTCGGGACATTTTTAATATCGAGCTGGAAAGCGCGTCTTGATACCTCGGCATTTTTCATCCGCTTTAAGGTGAGACTTATTTTTTCGCGTACACGCGGGGATAATAAATTATTTTTAAACTTAATACTCCTCCTGACGCGACGCGCTATAAATCTAGCCCGCGATACTTACACGATGCAATTTCTATGTACAACACCGGCGGATTGTTATTAATATCTTGACAAATAATCTCGCGCGATATTACGCAATGTCAGCGCAGAGAGCGATATTTCGCGGTAATAATAATAAACACGGGCGATTGTCTACACAAACTTGTCTACATTGCGCTCCCCCGTTTTCCCCACTCAAACGCGTTGAAAATTCATCTTGCTTGCAGGTACCGCCCGAGACACCGCGAAGATGCATACATTGTCATCCGGTACATGTCCCCAGCACCCCCAATAATTACATGCAACATCCTATGCAGTACTATACGCCGACTCATTATATGGAGGGTCAAAATGGCACGTACACGCCGCACCGAAGTTCGTATCACGGCGGTGAGTTTACTTTTCAATTACAGTACAAATGTATTCCGAGCAATCGCGTATCCTCGAGTACTGTTATCCAGGATAGAGCGGGCAATTACCGTCCATCGTTTCGCAATCTTAATGTTTAAATATTGTCATTACTGAAAATTAATTTCGGCGCGCATTGCCGAATTCGTTCCGTCAGCGCGAGCGATATTAAAGTTGTGCTAACATTCAGATGTTTAATTGAAGTTACTTTAATTAAATCAACTAAATTAATTTGAGTTAATCTAAAGTTACGCGCCACGTTCAACCAGAGTTTATAATAATGTCGTGATTCGTGCGCCGTATATCTAATTTCTTGCGGAAATTTGTGTCGCGAGTCGATAGCAGAGATAATTATACGATTCTCCCGCAGCGTCCTCTTTCCACGCGGAGATTGTTAATGTAAAATATTTCTGTCGCGAGGCAGCTCGTTCGGCGGGCATCGCGATAATCGCACCAACTTTCGGCAAATCTCATTTTCTACGTATGTATATGCGCGCACGTTGGATATGAAATACCGTCGCTCTCGCGTGAGAGGCATTATAATTTTAGGGCATCGATTTTTAATTTGGATTGTGCCTCGAATACCATCTCTTTTGTAAGGCAGGAAACAAAAGAAGTAGGACAAGATGAAATGAAAAGCTTACGAGAAATAAGTATCAATTCCACTTAACTCCGCCGAAGAGGTATCTTGAAATTTTGTGCTTGATGTATCGTCGAAAACAGTGTCTATCTAAAAATGTAGGTCGACCGTCGGTTTTCAATCTCGACTGACAAAGGTGAATCCGAGTAGCAATCGGAATTGAAATTTTTGTTTGCCTTACTTCTTTTGTACGAGAGAACCGATAGTTCCTGCACATTTATCATACTAAACATAAAAGAGAAATTCGATATTCCTTTATCGATTAGCCTGTTGGTAAACCCGAATTATTCAAAATACGGAAAGTATCGATACACGATGCGCAAACAACGTAATGGAGAAAATTTTAATCGCTTTTCGCGCCATAGACTTAAAATTATTTAGATACTAACGTCCTGTCTTGGCTCTTCCCTTAAGAAAAAGAACTGACCAGCGGCATCAGTAACTGATAATGTCGAATCAGTAACTTGTGGCGTTCTATCAATGACTGATTGCGAGAGTCAGCTACTGCTAATGTTTCTCAGTTAACGTCCAGTTTTAATCATCAGTTTCAACAGCACTCTGAAAAACTGGTTAGACAACGATTGTTATCATCAGTAACTGAGCGCTGATCAGTAACTAAGTATTGATCTGTATTTAATTACCGATAACAATCACTGTACAACTAGTTTTTTAGAGTAATATAGAAACTGATTATTAAAATTGGACATCTGGACACTAACTGACTGGATAACTGATCAGCTACAACTGGTGGCTCAACTAGAACTGGAAGTTTTATCAATTACTGATGAACATAAAACTGAACAAGTGACCAGTTTTTGTATCAGTAACTGGAAATTTTATCACTTACTGATGAACAGAAACTGAAGAAATGACCAGTTTTTATATCAGTAACTGGTCAAGTTGTTTCAATATACTGGTTGTGCTGTCATCAGTTACAATGATCAGTTCTTTTGTCAGTTTTCCCTGCATTTTTTC